GCCTACGACCTGCACGAGGTGAGAACACAGAACATCCGAATCCCGCGTGAGGGGCGGCTGAAGGTCTACTTTACTACTACAAAGACAGGAGGTCCCCAAATAAGAATCCTATCTAGCCTAGCCTTCAAATCTGAGTTGCGCTGTTTAGGACGAGTCATGGCACAAACTGAATCCTGTTGGACCCTGTTGGAGCTTTGATTCAAAGGACAGTCAATGAGTCTATGGAATGCTGGCTTGAAAGTTCCTTGAACCATTACAATTTTTTGGAACGCTTTTGCTCTGGGACTCGCAGAAAAGGATGCTGCAACACACCCTTCCACACCCTTCTCCTGCGAGGACGGCGCAAGTCGCCTTCTTGACCATTCAGGTTATGTGCCGCCCAGCGTGTGAGAAACGGCCCTTGCCCATGTGGTCGTGCGGGGTGCCACGTAAGGGAGACCGCAAAGCTTTATTGGATCCTTTTTCCATTGTATTTATCATGTCAGTTTACACTAGTCTATGAGAGTCCATCAGTCTTTCAGAGGCTATCCATCCAATCTAGAAAACATGCTCCAAAGCTTTTCATTGCCAACCGTGTTTGGCTCGGGAATTTTGGATCAAGATTTTTTCTCAAACAGTGTGGTGAAACTAGAGGTTCTCATTACGGTAACAGTTAAGGCTGGGTTTGATCAAGGGTCAAAGCAAGCGGCGGCTAACTCGATCTTCGAAGTGTGTTTCGACTGCGCAGATTCGCGCAAACTGCCTCCCCAGAACGGGTGCTTTCCTCCACTGTGCTCTTGTTGTGGTGCCGTGCACATTTTCAGACTTGGTGGTCACTTTTCGTGGCTGGAGCAAGGGAATCCTTGTGTTTCAGCAGTACATCCTTGTGAAGGCGCGTAACTCAAATAATCATGGCCCATGGTGGCTTTACACTCGATATACTCCAGGCCTTCAATCTAGTCCCTCGCCAAGTGGCCGAAAAGGATTTTAATCCACTGGGGGGCGCCATCAGAAGCAACTGCTTTTTGGATTAGGTCTTTAAATCACATGCCGCGTCTTGCAATCTAAAGGGGCCTGCGGTGCAACGGGCGCCCCATAAGGCGATGCTTTGTCTGTGCGCGCCATTGCGACAGTGTTCTTTCGTCGCGTGTCGACTGTTCTCGTGCGACCATGTACCCCTATGCAGACAAGTGGACTTTCATGTCATCAGGCCACAGGTCTTTGTTTGGAGCGCTTGGCACCTTGAATTTCACGACAGCCTTACAAATGAAAGTGACCTGAAGAAGTCAGGGGGATGGGGCGCTCATCAACCGATGCGAGAGTTCTGGAAAAACAACATCAGTGTCGAAGTGAAGTTGTTGTCCGAGTCTAAAGTGTATGGCGCGCTACTCCCAAGAAGGTTGTTCTTGGATGCCTTAAAGACTCCATGCTGGCTGCTACGCGTGCGCAAAGTACAACCGGCCATATGGCCTCATCCCTTTATTATCGTTGGTGACCCTCACCTCGTAACTTGAAGACGCTTAGCCGCTGATGCTCTGATTGGCCGAGGCAATGTGCATATTCATCAGACCAAGTCGAAGACGCTTTACTCTATGTGATCTTTTCTAGCCAGTGTGCACTGCTGTGCGCACTTTTTGCCAAATATGTGCGTGTGTCGCTGCCGCTGAGGGTTGTTTGCGCCAGATTCAGATGTCCATGGCACTGATGCCGCTGCAGGCCTTGTGTCAGCGGCTGCGTGTGCTTTGGAGCGTGGGCGCTGGTGCTGCTGCAGGGGGCCGCTGCAAGGTGCCGCCCACATGTCTGTGTCCTGTGTGCTTTGGAACTTGGGTGCTGGTGGGGTTGCTGCCAGATGTCTATGGGGTTTTGGAGCCTGCGTGTTGGTGTTGCTGCAGACCGCATGTTTATGTTTTAAGGCAGTGCGCAATTTGGAGTGTGGGCGCTGGTGTTGTGCTGCCCGCAAATGTTTTTTGGCTGGGGTCTGTCCTGGCGTAATTTGTTTTTATTCGCGTGTGTCTGCTCTCTCATGTTTGCGCTATCACCCTGTTTACTCACACGTGTGTTCTCGTGTGTGTGTGTGTCAACTCCTGTTTCCAAGGATCTTGAGCGCGCTAAGGATTGGCACGGGGCCCGCGCATAACATCGCGACGCTGGCCAACGAAGCAGTCAGAGACGTCTGACTGTGTACCTGCCAAGTTTTCACAGTGTCCAAAGGGGGAATGAGCTGTTGTTCCAACTATTCTGTTCTCTGACCCAGCATTCTTGCCGCTGTGTGCGAGTCAAGGTCTGTTGTAATCAGTAACTGACGCACGGGGATGTCGCAACTGATAGAGCTCTTGTTAACAATGATCTAAGTGTGTCTCGCTGCATCGTCCCACTGTGGTATGCTGTGTGATCCCCGCCGAGGGGCGCGTTGAGCATAGACCCTGAAGGGGAAGTTGTCAGAGATTGCTCGTGCTGCGTGATAGTGATCGTCCATCTCCTGAACGGCCGCTTGCTCGAGATTGCTGACCGCATGCTGCAGGGCCCACTGAACTCCTCACAGAATGACATGCGCCATGCGTCTAAGTATTCATAGGATCATGTCATGCAGCTAAGTACTCGTAGGGCGTGCAGCTAACGTAACCGCATGATTTTTGTTTTTCTTCTTTAAGGTTCTCTTCGTTTTTAAGGTCTTCCTTCCTTGCTAAAGGCTTGTAGATATATTTGAGGCCTTTTAGTCAAGAGTGTGCCGGTTTCGGCTTTCTGGCCCGTACCTTTGGGCCAGTGCCTTTCAACCCAACCCCCCCCACACCCCTGCACGTTTTCTTTCTTTCCTTGCCGTTATCGTTTGTTTGGTCTTTCCTTCAGGCTTGTCAAGTCGGCTTTTTAGGCTCGTTTATTTAACCGCCGCTGGCGTGTTCCGCCGGCTTTCCAGGGATGCAATGTATAATATGCTATAACAGTCTTCGGAGAAAGATACAGATCAGACAATATAACATAGGAGAAGGGATACAATGTATAATATAATAGAACATAGTAGAGAGGAGGGGGGAGGGGGGGGGTGAGCAAAAATCCGCGCGTAGGGGAAAGACTTACAACACAACAGGAACAGGAACATCCACAGAACACGCCGGCTACAGCCGGCGGAGTCAATGCATGCCCCTACACCCCCGCAGCCTTTCTTTCCTTACCTTCTTCGTTTTTTTTGCCTTTCTTTCAGGCTTGTTAGGTTGTCTCTTAGGTCTCAGGCTCGTTTAGTCAACGCACCCCCTCAGCCTCACCCCCCCTCCCCGCGCAGAAAAAGAGAGAGCGCCGACTCGGCTTTTTTTATTTTTATTTTGTGTGTGTGTCAACTCCTGTTTCCAAGGATCTCGACCACACGAAGGAATTCAAGTCAATTTGATTAATTGGCAGGGGGCCATCGCCTGACATCACGCCGCTGGCCAACGAAGCTAGTGATGTCATGGGAAGCAGTCAGAGACGTCTGACTGTGTACCTGCCAAGTTTTCATCCTGTCTAAAGGGGTAATGAGCTTTTGTTCCAACAATTCTGTTCTCTGATCCAGCATTGCGGGTCAAGGTTTAATGTAATCAGTAACTAACGAACGGGGTTGTCGCAACTGATAGAGCTCTTGCGAGCAATGATCTAAGTGTGTGTGTGTGTGAAGCCAGGTCTGCTCAACCTGGTGTACCTGCTTGTTTGAACTGTTGCCCAAGCTGTTACTCCAATTCTTCCTGTAAAGTGCTAGTGAGTTCTGCAGATGTGCACGACCGCCGTCACTTCGACCTGTTCGTCGTCTCGTGGCTTTGGAACTTTGGCCTTTAACTAAAGGCGCTCAGGCCCCTCACCTGGTTTTTCAGGATTTGGGTTTCTTAGGCTGGCGTGTGGCACCACTGTCAAGTCAGTACGCATATCCATAAGTGTGTCTCTCCCAGTGAGAGTCCGGGATGAGCCCGTAGAGTGCCTCCCGTGGACCCGTCGAACGGGTAGATGTACGTGCCCAGAGCGGGCGTAGGAGGCTTACGCCAAAGTTATTTGCCAAGATTTGCTGAACTATTGAATTCCAAGTTGGCTCATGCCTTTACGTGACCGCAGCGGTCAAAGCAGCCAGCCATTTTGGCAGGGCACAAGGTGACCACAGCGGTCACAGTACTTTTGAGGTTCGTTGGAACCTGTCCCACTCTCAGGCGCACACACAGCACGTACTTTCCAACGCGGCAGGTCCCTAGGTGCTTCTAATGAGGTTGGTTTCATCGGTTCTCGCCCCCTCCATTTGGTTCCCCTTTCATCCCTTTCCCTTCACACACCTTTTGTTTCCTCTTTTCTTTCATGTCCTCCTGTCTTCATGTTTGGTCATCTCATCCTTTTCTTCGTTTGCTTGCACATTGGTCCCGGCCTCAGTGTGTACGTGCACACTCCTACATACCTTTAAACAGAGGTTTCAGGTCGCCCAGGTCTTTACAATGAGGTGGGCTTCATCGGGTGTCCCTGTGCACTTGGTTCTCCTTCATTTCAACCACACACACACACCTTTGCCCCGTCTCGTCCTCTTGTCATGTCTTCATTCTTTTGTCTCTTGTGCGCGCACACGTGCACATTGGCCCTCACCTTAGCTTCATGCCTCCCCTCGGGGAGGCGTGTGTGTGTGTGTGTGTGTGCCCCTTGTAGTCACAGGGACTCTTTTGAATTGTTTTGTTTTGTTTTAAGCAGGGGGCATGCGGCCATCACGCAAACGCATGCCAACGAAGCTATGCGTGATGGTGGAAGCCAGGTCTGGTCAACCTTGCCCAAGCTGTTACTCCAATTCTTCCTGTAAAGTGCTAGTGAGTTCTGCAGATGTGCACGACCCCCGTCACTTCGACCTGTTCGTCGTCTCGTGGCTTTGGAACTTTGGCCTTTAACTAGAGGCGCTCAGGCCCCTCACCTGGTTTTTCAGGATTTGGGTTTCTTAGGCTGGCGTGGGGCACCGCTGTCAAGTCAGTACGCATATCCATAAGTGTGTGCCCAAGAGTGCGGAAATTGGTTTATTCAGCTTTGTTCTTCTTCTACTTAATACACTGCTTGGGGCCGGGATAGTAACCAACCTGCCATGGGCCAATGGAGGAGGCCTGCATTCTCCAATTGACTTCGACTGGTGGAATCTCCAGAGCCTCTCATCAGTTTACCAAAGGAATATTGGAGGGTTTTGTGAGTCTTGGCCAGGAGTATGGCTGGATTTGCAAAGCAGTGGTGCTCATTAGTTACTTTGGCTTGGCAGTACTTCTACTGGCCTTCTTGTGTTTTGGTTGCCCCGAAAAACGTCCAAAGGATCCAAAGATGGTGGGCAGCACGATGTTGACGGTGTACTTGGGAGCCGTCAACGGACTCTTGTACGTTGCCACCGACCAGTATATTCCAAGCTTGCCCCGCATGGAAGTGGAATTGTCCGGATCTGAGACAATTCTTTCTGGTTCGGTGCAGTTGAATCTCCTTTCCAAGGCTTTTGTAAGCCTTCTTGTGGCGCCCTTGTCCGATCAGATTGGAAGGAAACCCATCCTATTGACATGTGCAATACTGATGATCTTGGGGTCGTTTGGCTGTGCCCTGGCTCCGAATGTCTACTGGTTCATTTCTGCCAGAATCATTCAATCACTGGGCGAATCTCTTGAGCCTTTGACCTCTGCGATTGTTCGCGACTGCTACCCAGATCCGGGTGAAAGGCTGGCAGCCTTGTCAGTGGTTGGAGGAATGCTTATGCTTGGGACTGCTGTAGGGCCAGTTCTAGGAGGACTTGTTGCCTCTTTTTGTCATTGGAGAGTGCCCTTCTTTGTTTTGTCTCTGGCTTGGGCAGGATTGGCACACTATGCTGCCGTTTACATTCAGGAAACCGGCATTGATGTCAAATCTCCACCGAGCTACTGGTATAGTCTCAAGCGCGTGTTTTGCAATCAACAACTTTTGATGTTGCTCCTCGCTGAGTCTTGTATCCAGTGCGGGTATTTTACATTCAATGCCAACGCCAGCTATCTCACAGAAGCCGTTTACGGTAAGAGTACTGCAGCAACATCTGTTCTGATGGGGATGATGACCTTGTGCAGTGGCATAGGGCTGATGATTATTACGAGATCGACCAGGCCTGTGTTGTCAACTGCAAAGACATGGATGACAGCCTACAGTCTGGGAGCTGGCTTGTTGCTTGCGATTGCTGCTGTCTTTTGCCCTGACCACTTGTGGGCCTTCCTAGGCAGCTCCTTTTTGATGGGGTTCCTCTATCTGGGGTTCCTCTATCCTTGCTATGTGCCACTTACTGTTCTGTACCTTGACCCTGTTGAGGATATTGCAGGTACAGCCGCCTCTTTTGAAATCTTCTTTCAATCAGGGCCCTCTGCCGTCTATTCAGGCTTAGCGACTCAAGGTCTCATCGGCGATGGTCAGCGGGGGCTGACGTGGTTTCAAGCTGGAAGCACTGTGCTTGCAGGAGCTGTGTTCTGGCTTGGTTACGGCTGCCGAGGGAGAACGGAGCTGGCCGCAGAGGGTGTTTTCGAGGACCAGCTGGAGCAACCCAAATGAGCCATAACGGAAGAGTTCCTTGTGCTGCACCTCGCATGCTGATCCCTGATTTGTTAATGACACTGACCTGTCTGAGCTACTTTTGTGCTTCAGAACCCACAGAAAAGACAGCCGAACGGCACGCTCTACTGTGCACTAGTCTCCTTCTTGACCAGTCAGGTTGTATAGCGCCCGGCGTGTGTGAGAAAAGTACGAGGAGTTGGTGCGCGCGGACTGTGTGCCCTTTTGGAACAACATGCAGGTTAGTCGTCCTCAGTTACAGGCAAAGCAAGTAAGTAAGACCATAGTGGATCCATTTTCCTTTGCAGTTATCATGTCAGTCTACCGCCCTGCTCTATCAGAGCAATGCTCCAAAGCCTTGTCATTGCCAACCTGGCCTTTGGCTTTTGGCTCAGACAGACCCAAAGAACATCTTGCCCTTTGTTACTAGTAGTAATGCCAGCTACTAGCAGCTTCTTGCTCCTAGTAGCGATGCCCTTGTCACCAGTGGCTTTCTGTTTCTTCCCAAAAGCATTCTGCAAATAAGGTCTTTTGACATTTGTGGTGAATGTTCTGTCTGCTGCCTGGCTCGAATAGTGTGTTCACGCGGGACACTGCTTATGCAGTGTCACAAGTGCCGACAGGCACCTCCTGCGGAAGGAGACACCTGGTGTCTCAGCTGCGCTGGCTGGGAAGCTCTCGGAAGGGAGCTGTGCAGCCCCTGGCCGGCGGAGGGGGCGCGGAAGCTCGCTGCTGACCTTGTGGTGTCGTGCACCCGCCAGGTCAGGGGACTGCGCAACTACGCCCAGGCCGTGCGCAGCAATCAGCAGGCTGCCTCCCGCCGACGAGAAGCGGAAGAGCCTCCTCGCGAGAACGAACGGCCAAGCCTGAAAAGGCGCAAGCCTGAGCAGGTGGACAACGAGCTGGGAGCTGCAGCGAAGCGTCTTCCGGACGCAGCCAAGAAGGAGTTCTCCAGTTCGGGAGAATTTGAGGAGGAGTCTGAGGAGGAGGCCCCAGACAATACACTTGCCCCCCTGGCTGGCCGTGACGCCCGTCGACCGCCTGAGCCGGACGGGCCCCCGCCTTCGCACCGGAAGGAGGGCGACAATCGACGCGATCGACATCGAGGTCACCAAGGACACAAGGCACATCGAGGAGGTCAGCAGTCGGCGAACAAGGGATCAAAGCCGCGACACCGAGCCGGGCGAAAGCACCAACGGCTGGGTAGGCTAGAGTTCGATCCCACCGCAAAGGTACACAGAAAGCTTTCGAACCACTTCCTGGACACGCTCTCCACCGACGCAGGCAAGGAGTGTTTGGACAGGTTGCCATGAGCTGAAGGCCGCATTCAGAAGGCGAAGAATTCAATTTACACAATCTTGGGCAATGGTGTATGATTTCACCTCTACGAGGGGACGTGCTTTTTGTAGATCTTCAATCAACAGATTATCAGGTGGAAGCCGAAACCTGGGCTCCATTCTTGGTGTTGGAGGTTGCACTCCAACATTGTCCATGGAGGTGAAGTTCCTTGGAGGCTGTTCATCCGAGATCAACAAGGAGATGTCGGCTCGGTTCAACAGGAGGACAGGCCGTATTCACCTGTGCGGGACAACTCCGTGCCTAGAGGAAGAGGCTGGAAGTCTCCATGTCACAAGGTTTGTTTGGCATTCGCTCCATGGGGCAGAAGGCTGGCTGACAACAAGAGCCGTGCGCACTGCCACCAACTGGCTACAAGGAGCAAACGACACAGACGAGGGTGCAGGCCTGGAAGAACCAGGCCATTTGGTCGAGAATTTGGACGAGGAAGGTCGCAAGGAGTCGGGGAAGGAGCGCGCCGGTGTTCGCCGAAGCGCACTTCGACAGCCCCGAAAGGCTCACAAGAGCACAACGGAGGAGGCAGATGCCGCGTCCAAGGAGGTCAAGGAGGTCGAGAACACCCTGCAGCCTTTCAAGAAGAGCGCCGCTCGCCCTGCAGCCCCCAAGCCAGGTTCTGTCCCTGCAGCTTCCAAACCCACCGGCAAGGGCGTTGGAAGTGGGCCTGGGTCCAAGGCGGCATTAGATCCAGCAAAGGTACAGAGGTTGAGAGAAGAGCTCAAAAAGTGAAGACAAAAGCTTGCAACTGGCGGCGGTCCAGACCCCTCCCCAGACGGAGAACTGGCTCCACCAACTCAGAAGGTTCGTCCTCTGCAGCGGAACGGAAGGGTCTGACAGCGGGGACTCTGATGGGAGCCGAGACCAGCCGGACCACCGCCAAGGCTATAAGAGATGGTACTACAGGGGACTATCGCGAACAGCTTATTCAGCGCGCGGCCGGCACCGCCGAGCCGACTCGCAAGGAGGGAGCTCTTCAAGACCCAAGAGGAGATCGAGGAGTTCTTCGAAGCGCAAGGCACACAAGAAGGACAAGGATCGCAAAAAGGACAAAGAAAAGAAGAAGAAGAAGAAGGATCGAAAGTCAGGCAAGAAGAACTAGACGACGAGTGGCCCGAAAGCATTTTTCATCACGAAGGAAGTCAGACTGCGAGTTATCCGGTAAGTGTGCAGTGAGAAGTGTGAAGTCGAGTGAGTTGAGGTAGTGTGTGGGTTTCTGTGCGTGTGTCTATGTCCGTGTGGAAATGAGTCTGCGTATGTGTGTGTTCGTGTAAGTTGAGGGAGTGTGTGGGTGTCTGTGTGTGACGCGGCCTCCCAAACCCCCCACCGGTGGCCAAGCGGTGACAGCCCAGCTCATCGTCGTGAGCATTTGGGCTGCTGGTAAGGGGACAATGGCAGCCAGCGTGTTGGCTTGCCCACTTCAACTATGATGGCAGCCAGCGTGCTGGCTTACCCACTTCAACTATGATGGCAGCCAGCGTGCTGGCTTACCCACTTCAACTATGATGGTAGCCAGCGTGCTGGCTTTCCATCTGGACAATGGCAGCCAGCAAGCTGGCTTCCACTGCCTGTTGTCAAAGGCACGTGTTAGTTGTACTACCAAGTCGCCAGTTCTCATCTTCCAGCTCCCCAGCTACTCCGCGCACTACAGTTATACTACACCGTCGCCAGTTCGCAGCTACTACCCACTCGCCAGTTCTCATCTTCCCATTCCCCAGCTACTCTGCGTACTAAAGTTGTACTACCAAGTCGCCAGTTCTCATCTTCCCAGTCCCCAGCTACTCTGCGTAC